CTAGAAAGGCAACCCTGTTGGCTTCATAGCAAGGACTGGCCCGGCCTGCTGTGTAGGCAGAGCCCACACCACCCTCTGAGAATGCAGGGTAGAGGGGTGCAGGAGGGACTTAGAGACCTGAGAACAAAGGTGCTCACTGTAATGTGAGCCAAGGCCAAGAGACTTGACAAAACTTTCTCTCTACAGAAGGGACAGAGACGCCTTCCTCTGACTGAGGAGTGCGACCCAAAGCTCAGGTGACATCCTCTGCTCTCCCGTAGTGGTTGAAACAGTGGTTTGAAGGTCCTGGGTTCTTCTCAGGTTAGAGGGCTTCCTCATGGAGTAGCCCACTGGTGGATGAAGCTGCAAGCCTTGCTGACACAGATCTCTGCATGGCCAACATTCAGGGAAAGTGTCCCCTTAGAGGAAGGTGTGGGAGCCCAACTTTAATGGTGTAACATGATATGTGCAGAAGCGAGTTCTCTGTGTTGAACAAATAGGTGTCAGCACCCATCGGGCCAAGGGCTAAGCACTTCACATGCGTTTCACCTTCCCAGCAATGCTGTGAGGTTGGTTCCATTGTTATCCCCATTTTGCCGATGGTAAAAGTGAGACCTTGAGGGGTTTAGTAGTAGCTCAAGTCTCATAGCTGAGAAAGGGTTGTGCCAGGATTTGAACCTTGGCCGTCTGACTTGGAAGGCGCATGCTTAACTACAGGTCTCTACTGTCCGTACACCAGGGTTTAGGGCAAGGGGGCAGGAATTATCAACGATGAGGCTGGCTAACAAAGAGGAATGAAGCATAGACCCTGCTTGGCGGAGCTCCTGGCCTAATGAGAGAGACACAAAAACTAACAGGCACAGCACAGGGGGTGAATGCAGTCATGGAGGGAGACCAGGGACCTTGAAGGCCCCAGGAAAAGGGAGAAGGCATCCCAGGAGAGCTGACACAGACGTGTTATAGATGCCACCTTAACTTGAAAGGAGAAATACAAGACTCACAGGCCACTAAGCTTGAAGCACTAAAGAAAGAACAGTGCCCAGGTACAGGAAAAACAAAAAGCCATGAGATGCTAGAGAAAGAAAGTTGGCATCCTGGTGCCTCTGCTGATCCCATGAAGCAGGGAAAAAAGGCCCAAGTGAAAGAAATAGACACTGCTCACTTGGTTGGTGGCAGAAAAAAGGATGTGTGTTCACAGAGCATGCAGAATCCCCCTGCATCAGGGATTCCTGCCCTGCATTTCCAAGCTGAAGAAGAAAATCTCTCTCCAGGGGAGCCAGGGCCTGTTTCAGCAGCCATATGGCTCTGACTTTCCCCGGAGAAGGAGGGGAGAGCGAGGCCAGAATGCTTGCCTGGACTTAGACTTCTGACCTCAGCTTGGCCTTGACATTGCTCGACCTCAGCCAAGTTGCTTCTCTGGCTGGAGACCAGAGAGTTCTTCACCTGCCTTTACCTGGGAACAGTGAGCCAGGTGGACTTTGAAGTCCTCGCATGAAGAAGGACAGCAGGAGAACCAAGGGACCCAGACCAAACGCAGATCAAAAGGGAAGAAGGGTCCTGTAGAGATGTTAACTGACCAGCTAAAGGGGAAGACTGAGCCCTCGGGACTCCAGGAGCAGGACCAAAGTGGGAGAGAATCCATTTCTCTGGCCCCACCAGACTCTCCAGCTGGAACTCTCCAGCTGCTGGCAAATTGAGCCATACTCCTGTCTCTGTATTCTCACCTCCGAACTGGAGCAGGAGAAGTGATTAGGGGAGTTGAAGGCACACAGCCCCTCCAGGCCCTTGGTGAACCAGGGAACGAGTCTGCTGGGGGTTGGGGGGCACTCTTTTCTGAGCATATCAGCTGACTCCAGCTTCAGAGCATGCACCACAGTTGCCATTTTTGCTTTGTGAAATGATTCCCCTCTCTCCAGCTCCATGCTGCCTTCCACTCTGCAAGCACAGAAGTTGTACAGCAGCCTGAAAATGCTGATGGCTTAACTGGTTTAATTTTTTTTTTCCCAGCAGCCCTGAGGGGTTTTAACTCTTTCCTACTGCAGAAACCCTGCTTTTGGAGTTGAATGTTTAAACTCTCACTGGGAGACTCATAAATATTCGGAGTCACTCTCTCCCTCTCTGTTTGATTAGGAAATGAGCCTTTAACTCAATGTAATCCCCAAGCCATTAACAAAAAAGCCCTCCACCGCTCCACTATTAGAATTTCACTCTTAACCCGCTGAGGATTGAATTAGATTAACATAACTACCCACAATCTGAGTTTATTTTCTGTGCCAGATAGAAATGTGTTTTCAAGAAAGGCAAAACGCGGGAGGGAAAGCAGGAGGGAGAAAGAAAGAGTGGGAGGATAATGAAATGTAAAAATAGAGATAAGAAAAAGATGGACAGATATCCTGTAGAAGTGAAGTGATAGGGAAGGAGCTGCTCGTGGTCTTTAGTTTTAAAATCCTGCCAGCTGCCATTTTAATTGATGGGGTATTTGGAGAGGCCTCAACCACATAAAATCGTTTGAATTAGGGAAGTACTTTCCAGGTATTTGCAGTTCCCGCTCCCTGCACCTGAGCCTGCTGTACTCCAAAGCACCTGCTCATTGGCCCCACTGTTCCCAATTTGGGAGGAGGTCGGGACTAGATTCCTATGTGCTTGAGGACAGCGGGGGGCGGGGGGGGGACTCATAAAACAACAGTGCATGTACACAGGAAACTGCTTGTTTACATTCAGAGAAATAAACAATGACAAGTATGGAATGGGTTAGATTTTGCAGACATGAAGTCACAGACAGCCCCGTGACCAATTGCATTTAAGAAATCAGTTTGAAAAAAGAAATGAGTTTGATGGGAGCTCAAACCACATAAAATTAATCGTTATTGAAGCAGAAACTAAGTAATCAGAGGCTGTCTTATGCAAACACACTGAAGTTTCCCTGAACTGCATCTCTATAACTAAGCCCAGTGGGGCCAAACCACACCCTGAACTTGAAGGTGAAAACCAGGCCCTCTATCACACTGTCAGACAAGCCCCTACCTCGCCTGAAAGGATCTACAGGTAGCCCAGGCAGGAGGAAGTTCTCAGCGAAATGTGCCAACAAATATTCTTCGCTCTGACCACGAAGGCTGTGAGAACACAGGACTTGCTGAGGAATGTGGGACTCTTTCCCACTGCACTTACCCATGAGTATGGGTCAGGCAGGCTCCAGTGCGCAGGTTGGGGAGGGAAGGGAGAATTTGCTCTTGGTCTAAAAGGCTTTTTTTAAAGCCACACTTTCTCTCAAAAGCTACTGAGATCTGAAAGTCCTAGAAGTTCAGCTTTGCCACCAGCGGACTTCTCTGATTTCTGAATGCAATGTCTCAATCACTTCATTCACTTGAGCTTTAATTAACAATAACCCACCAATACCACTTCAGCATTGTGGTGAAAAAACCTTAGCAGGATGTATTTACCAAAATAGATCCCTTGTAACAGGAAGAATCATAATGCTATGTGTATAATACACTGTAACTCCTAGTTCGTGTTTTTCCCATTCTGGAGTTCTGAGACTTCACTTCCTATATTAATAACCCTAAACAAGATGCAGGTGAAAACACAGAACAAGGAAAAGGAAAATTAAGGTTTCAGAGAGTCAGAATCAAAATGAGATCAAATTGCCTCTCTAAACGTATGTGTATCTCTGTATTATCTTTCATCGAGTTAGATTTGCTGGTAAAGCTAACTATTTTGTTTGTAATAAATCAAAAACAACACAGACATAGCTGCTTTGTGTAGTGCTTTTAAATTGTTGGAAAGATTGTTTCTTTGTAGGATATTGTTCTCCCAAACAAATCAAGTGGTCCTTAGCAATACAGCATATGGAACCCATTGTATAAATAGAAACTCATGGTAAAAAGAGAGAGAGAGAGAGAGAGATACATGTAAAAAGTTGTACTTAAGTATACATTGGTCATCATTACATTTTTTTTTTTTTTTCCAAAAAAGGGATACTTTTCCTTCGTAGATACTATAAAGCAAATCTTCCCAAATACAGGATTTCGGGTGAATACTATTCAATATCCAGAAACTAAAGTCTCAAATGTTGCCTGGGAAGCTTGTGGCAGGTAAGCCCTGTGGATATCGGGACTGTGGCTGGAGAGGCCGAATCTAGAGTCACCCGAGGTGCACTCAGAGCCTGCACACTATTCAAATTGTTTGAAACAAGCACAGCTTTGACAAGCCTCGCGATATTAAGTTTCTTCCTTCGCGAAGGATGCAGAGCAAAGCAGTCAACAGCCCTCCCTCCACACCTGGCTTTGGCCTGGGACTCTTCCTCCCAGCCCCCAGCCAACTTCCCTTTCAGGATTAAGAAAACACACCAAATGAGGGAGCCAGCGACAGCCCCGCAGGGCAGGACAAATCCTCAGCTCTCATCTTGACTTCCCAAAGCAAACTCGCTCCACGGAGGGGAGGGGAAAGTCATTATCTTTGAGGTGCTGTAGAAAACTGGTCATCAGGACTGTGGGGACTCTCCCTGAACCTGGAAGCTCCCAGGTTAAAACCAAATCTTCCAGGAGCCTCCATCATTACCTGTCCTGTGGGCACTGGGTCTTCCTGGGTAACCTTCCCCAGCTTGCCCTACACGGAAGCTGCCAGCAAATAAAAGTTTTCATGCTGGGCGACATCTCCACCCTGCTGAGCCACATGTAAACTTTCCCTTGCCCTTCTGGTGTACGTACTTCTTTCTCAGTGAAAACAAACGCTGCCTCCAAGTGAGTTTGTGTCACCGTCCCACCCAGCCACTCGGAGACCCTGTGACCTTCCCGTGACAGTCTAAGAAAGGCAGCATTTTCCTCCCGGCCACACAGGGATGCTTCAGAGTGCGGAAAACCAGGATGAAAGAACACGCATGGGGAGATATTTTTATCCATTAAAAGAGAGAGAGAGAGGAAGAGAGAGAGAGGGAGAGAGACAGAAAGGGAGAGTGTAAGAAAGGGGACAGAAAGGGACCTGCAGAGTCTGGGGAAGAGAAAGGGAGAAGTTGGGTTACTCACATGCTTGGGGCTGGCGTGGAAAACGGGGCTGGGGTGGAATGCGCGGCCCCTCAGGTGCTTGCAGTTGCTGATAACTCGTTGCTCCGCTCCTCCGGTACCAGCTGACAGTCCCCTGTCTGTGTCTCTTTGTGACTAAGGACACAGTACTCCCAACCTATAAATAGATCCCGACTCTGTGATTGATATAACAGGCAGCTGACAAAAAAAAAAAAAAAATCTCACAACCATAACCAGGTCTTAAACAAAACAGCAAAAGGCTCTAGACTTTCAACTCCACTGAGCCCCATGCAGACTCCACAGCCACTGATGGACGCAGGAGAGTGTGGAAGAAAAATATACCATGAAGGGGAGGAGGAACTGAGGGAGGGCAAGTGAAAATGGGGGGGGATGTGGAAGACAATGACTCCTCTAGTGGTGTGCAGCAGTCACTTGGGGTCATAGGAGAGCTGGTGACTGATGGTCAGCAGAAAGTGAGGGGAGGAGCCAGGGCAGGAGGTCCTGACCTGGAGAAGGAGAGAGGCCCCCCTCCTCTGGATCCTGAGCTTGTCAGGGCCCTAGTCAAAGTCCTGACTTGGGAGCATTCGTCAGCTCAAGTGCTTTCCACGAAAGTTTCCATTCCTCCTGCCAAATTAGGAGGCAGGGAGGGAACTGAGCTTTCCCAGCTCAGGGGCCAGGCAGGCTTCTTGGGGGCCATGCAGAAGGCTTCTGGAGGGTCAGTGAGAAAGTGCAGGTGCCTGGTGAAGCCAGGTCTTTGAAGAGGCCAGGAGATGGCATTCCCAACAAAAGAATGACCTGAAGTTGAAAGGCCTTGCGGGTGTCAGTCTCTCCTTTTTCCCTAAAGATTTCCTAGGAGATCAAGTCATCTGAAAAGGGTTCCTTTTTGGAGAACAAGCCCCACTCTTTGGGGTACTGGAGGGTCTCTAAGAAGCACTGCCTGCCCTAGTTTCTACAGAGTTGGGGCAGCCTCTCTGAGGCAAGCCAGTCTAGCTATGAAAGCTGAGCCAAGCTGAGCCAAGGGACTCAGTTTCTGGAAGATGGAAGAATCATGATGAAATGGCCCAAGTGTGGGTTGTGTAACAGTTAACCAGGTGAGCATGCATTACCCCGGAGGGCTTCCCATCTGCCATCCGGAGACCCATTCGCTTCAACTACACAGGCTCACCTGCCTTGATTTTCTGGATTTCTTGTGCATGCTAACTGAGGCAGAATTTCCGGGGAGGTTCCCCTTTAAGAGGGGTCATAGGATGAGCCCCTTGCTGGTGTGGGTAAGGGATAGGTACTTCACAATCCTTGAAACTTCCGGATCCCCAATTTTTAAAAGAAATGAAATTGAACTTCCTCTTCATGTTAGACTAATCCTTTACTCTCCAGGTTATCAGAATCTGTGAAGATGGGGTGATATCTAAGCTGTTGAAGTCAAAATCCTACTTAATGTGTAAAACCTCCAGTATTTCTACCAGTAGCCTGCCATTGGAATATGAGCTCCAAGAAGGTAAAGAGTACATGTTTGTCTCATTCACCATCACATCCCCATGAAGCCTGATCCATAGTAAGACCCTCCTGAGTATGGATTGATTGATTGATTGATTGATTGAATGACTGATATTTAAAATACTATCCTTTGAGTCACTCCTTTGGACTAAGTAAGACACTCTCTAGAAATGTCTGTATCATAAGAGTGCCCCTAGGAAGGTCCAGAAATGGGAGTGAGACTTTAAGTAGATATAGCAAACTGCTATTATTTTCACTCACACTTTCATCTGAGAACCACTGCCCTTCTGGGCACCAGGCCAGTGATGCCAGTGGTCAGCCACCAAGTACTCCCCTCCAGTCAGGTCTGGCCACACACAGGGTTCTCTGCAAGTTTAGTTGCTGGAAATACAGGTAGCCCAGCAGCAACAGGGCTCTAGAGAGATTCTCATGCTGATGACTGATAGAAAGGCTCTGAATTGTTCTGGAAATGTTATGGAATCGGATAGCCAGAATGCTTGCATAACATAGTGTATATATGAAAGCCCGCTGGAGAAATATGCAATGGACACATAATAACTGTACATACATACAATGTGTAATAATCAAATCAGAGCATTTAGCATTCCCATCATCTCGAACATCTGTTGTTTCTTTGTGGTGAGAACATTCAAGATCCTTTCTTCCAGCTATTTTGAAATACACCATCCAATGTTGTTAGCTATAATCATCTTTCTGTGCAATGGCACACCAGAACTTCTTTCTCCTATTTAACTGAGACACTGTACCACTAACCAATCTCTCCCCCTCCGCCCCTCCCACTCCCCTCCCCTCCCCAGCCTCTGGTAACCACTATTTTACTCCCTAAAACCACTATTTTACTTCTAAGAGGTCAGCTTTTTAAGATTCTGCATATGAGAAAATTTACCATTTGAAAGTATGCAGGTGAGTGGCGTTAAGCACGCTCACAATGTTGCACAGCGATCACCACTGTGCAGTTCCAGAACATTCCGTCACCACCAAAGACATCCCTGTACACATGAAGCAGGTACTTTCTGTTCCCCCATTAGTCGCTAGGGCTGCCATAGCAAAAGACCTGACTTGCTGGTTTAAACAAACGTATTTATCTATTTTTTTGTCTTTATTTCTCTTTCTCTGTGTCTGTCTGTTTTTCTTTATTTCTTTCCTTTTTTTCTTTCTTTCTTTCGTGAGACAGAGTCTCACCCTGTCACCCAGGTTGGAGTGCAATGGCATGATCTTGGCTCAACACAACATCCACCTCCCGGGTTCAAGCAATTCTCCTGCCTCAGCCTCCCAAGTGGCAGGAATTACAGGTGCCTGCCACCACGCCCGGCTCGAACTCCTGACCTCGTGATCCACCCGCCTCGGCCTCCCAAAGTGCTGGGATTATAGGTGTAAGCCACCATGCCGGGCCCTTATTTCTCTTTAACATATGCATTTTGGGGACCCTAGCTTCCAGCAACCACATATCTGCTTTCTGCCTCTATGGATTTGCCTATTCTGTATATTTCATATAAACAACATCACACAATTAATGGTCCCTTCCTAAACTCTTAACCCCGTGTGTCTATTCTGTAGAAACAAGGAGACTGACCTTTTTTGTAGTACTTTTTGTTTTGTGTGGTCTGCCAGGCACTTGGTCTGTATCCAGCCCAGTTCTCAACCCCTCAGTCTGGGGGTGAGCCTCCCAGCCTAAGAATTCAGTGACCATTTCTGAACACCTGTTAGGTACTAGCTGCTTCACCTGGCTTTTCTTGTCACATCCTCAGCACATACCCACAGGAAGAATTACTACTTCCTTGTATTAGTCTGCAAGGGCTGCAGAAGAAAGTAGCCAAAACTGGGTGACCTAAAACGACAGAAATGTATTGGCTCCCAGTTCTGGAGGCTGGACGTCAGGGATTAGGGTGTCAGCAGGGATGGTTTCTTCTGAGGGCTCTGAGGGAGAATCTGTCCAGGCCTCACTCTTAGCTTCTGGTGGTTTGCTGGCAGTCTTTGGGGTTCCTTGGCTTGTAGATGCACCATCACCTCAATCTGTGCCTTCAACTTCATAGTGCATTACCCCTGTGTGCGTGTCTGTCTCTGTGTTCAAATTTCCCCTTTTGATAAGGACTCTAGTCATTGGATGAGGGCCCACCCTAATGACTTCATCTTAACCTGATCATCTGCAAAGACCTTATTTCCCAATAAGGTCACCTTCACAGGTACTGGAGTCAGGACTTCAACACCGTTTTGGGGAGACACCATTCAACCCAGAAGATCCCCTTTTACAGAGGAAGCAACTGAAAGCTCAGGAGATCTTGCACCTGGAAGGAGACAGAGCTGCGTGTCACCACAGAAAAGACACAGGCAGAGGGAAGTGGGCCCTTGACTGCTCCTCTCTGGCCGTGGAGATGTGTGCACCTGCTGGCTCAGTGCCACCATGCTCCATTTGGCTCGCTCCAGCATCATTAGTCCCGGCACATCAAGGTGACTTTACATTGTTTACAAGGGCCACTGAAAGTGCAGTCATCCCCCTCCCACACTGTCTTATCAACTCATTTACCTTTCCGAATTCCCTAACATAGACTGCCAGCCAGGAGGGGCGGGCAAGGACCTGCAGTCCAGGAAGGGCCTGCCTCCACTTTATCTGAAAAGAAAAATCTATCTGCTTGGGGATAGACCTAAATACAACACACCGGTTCGGCTAGGCCATTAATCATCTCTCGCAGGGACACAGACCAGGGAGCAGCATTGCGGGCACGCTGGCTTTAAACTCAAGGGCAAGGAAGCTTTGGGGACGCTGCTGGGCACATCACCTTCAGAGGTGATGTTCCACAGGTGCGTCGGGTGGGGGTCACACATAGTCCTCTTCCCATGCCGGTGACATCTTGCATGGGAAGAGGAGGCAGGAAGGGCAGATCGACACCCTCAAAGGATTCCCCAAAAACAGGCACTCCCACTGAAGTAAACACCCACTCGCTGGTGGAAGCAGAATGCCTTTTGACCAGGAACCCATTTGACGAGGAACTCTCCACGCCCAGCAGTTTGACACCTGCCCACAATCCCCCGGGGGATGCTGTATTCTTCTTAGAGGAAGGGAAGCTGTCAGAACAGGGACTCCTGGAATAAAAGGAGACCTAAGTCAACAAATGAAAGGCCCTCAGGCCCAGACTCCCCTCTCCCCATTGCCACCATTCCCTTACTCCAAGAGACCTGCCCTGCTGCCCAGCCGGCCTGCATGGCATCCCATAAACACACTGTCACAGCTAGGTGTGTTCCTGGCTCCACTGCCTTCCTTCTCTCTCACTTAATTTCTATTCATTCTTCATGGCCCAGCTCAAGCGTGACATCTCACCTGTCCACGACTCCCTGTCCACAGCAGCCCTCACCTCCAGTCTCCTCCCATCACCAACAACACATCTCATCTGAGTGTCTGTCACATCTCACATCGCCTTGAAGAGTGTGCTGTCTTCTCACCTGTGTTTGTCTCCAGGGGCCAAAAAAAGCAGTCATAATGGAACAATCGCAGTCATTCATTGAGTGCTGTTGTGTGCTAAATTCTGTGGAAAGCACCTGATCTACGCCCCCTTATTTAATCCTTACAATTACCCTGATGGTCAGTAACTATTTTCTCCAGTTTATCAGCTGGGAAACTGGCAGGCCAAGTGGGCAATGACTGGCCCAGGCTGGACAGTGGGTAAATGGTAGAGTTAGGACCAGCCTCTGCCTGGAATGAAAGCCTGTGCTCACAGCCTTTCTGCTATAGCGCCCACCCAAGTGGGGGGGGGTACATAGTGACACTTGTTCATGGCGTTAGTGAACTAAAGGAATAGGATTTCCACCAAGAACACAGCTGGAAGAGAATGGACAAAGAGAGATGGACTTGCACTGGCTGCGTTACCCTGTGGGGTATTTCCAGAGCTCAGGGCATATCTGCCATGATTTGAGTCTTTTCCTCTGGCT